ATTCATAAACATAGTTAAACCCGCTTAAATCGATTATTTATATATATATCCTGTCGATACCCGTAAAGTACATGCAAAGCTCCTTCTATAACGTCTGTAAAGCGTAGTCTACAATGGGCAGTAGAAGTATATTCATAAGAAATAAGAATAAGAAACTGGCCAATCATATTCGAATATAAGGAGAATAATCGACCATGATTGGTTGATTTCTTACTTTCATTTCTTATAAACATATTCCTACCGCCCATTATAGACCAAGTTTATAACGTCTGTGAAATTACGCAGTAAGACATAAGCAGTAAGCAAATTGACCAACTACAGTCGACTGTTCTTGGATCGCAAAAATCCAATTGGTCAATTAGCTTACTNCTGCTTACGTCTTATTGCATATTTTCACGGACGTTGTAGAAGGGGCTCTACAAACCTATTGTCGTTGCTGTGAGTCGGGAATTTTGGGAAGAGCGAAATAATAAGAGCCGCCACCGCGTTCGGACTGTTCGAAAGATTGTATCTCCCTCCACCTAGGAAAAGGAGGCCGAGGGCCATGTGCGTTGCCAAATGAGAGCCGTACGTGACAACGCTGCTCGCAGGTCCCACACGGGTGCGTATGTGCCTGCATATTCGCATTACCTACGTATTCAACAAGCAAGTGGCATTAATCAATTCCTCCGGCCCACTTTCTCGATGAGTATTGAGACTTACGTCTAAGTTGCCGGTACCCGCCATTACCACTGCGGTCGAAAGTAGGACAACGTTTAGGCACGTTTCGACGGTCGATTTACCGGCCAGTTCGGCTATAGTTTTATGTGACAGCGCCGTGAACATCTGAGCGTAATTGTACAGAGTCTTGAAGGCATTTTTATTAGCAGTACCCGCGTAACGTAACCCCAGAGCCATACAGGCACCGGCTATAATGTTGCAATAGGCCTGGCTGTAAATTGTAATGCAATGATGAATCAATCATGATTTATATCGAATATATGAATATGTGTTTAGAATAATAATCAAATGCTTTCACTAACTTAATAGTTTCCAGATCTACATCTGGCGTGGATTCTGACGCAGGTTTCTGCAATCGGTATTTATAAACTATATGAGGTACATGACTAGAGACCCACGACTTCGTCGGCTGTATGTCTTCCCACAGAATCAACGACTTGGCGAGCACTCTCAACAGAAGGAAATCCGGCCTGACAAACTCTAACAGATACTCCGTGTCGGGGGCTTGCATCCATTCGGCCACTGCACGATTTCCGGTATTAAAATACATTAGTCCTAAAGCTATCGTTGCCCCAGGGCTCGTCACGTCGATATTTATCGAATCGCCCTCGCGTATTTGATAACTGTGAAGAAGTTTAGAATTATTCGAAAATGTGAATTATCACAGAAAGCACTCAGACATAATGAAAGAGATCTGGAATAAAGAATCAAATATAAGGAATTAGGAACACAGGATATTCAATCTCGACATATAGACGATCATATTTTCACAATACAAGAATATGGAACGAGGATTAGGAACAATATCGAAATTCTCCCTATAAGCACGTAACATTATTTAATATTAAGTAATATTTCTGGAATATTAATGGATGGTTATATGTCTACCCTTAATAATATTAAAAAAATATTATTTAATGTTATTGTAATATTATATATTTTTTTAAATATTCAA